GTTCTTCAGACGCGGACGGCCCTACCTCGCACGCCCGATTATAAATATTCCAAATGGGTTTTTAAAGGTCGTACGTCAGGCAATCTCCTTGGTTGTTGCCATCGGTTTAGACTATATCAGAATTGATTTCAGACGTGAACCACATCTTTTTTGGGTCCGAATCAGAGTCATGATGAAGGCGCGCTAGGCGGCTCGGAGTCGGAGTCGGATCAATCCAATGCTTTGGGAGTCATAGTTGGAATCGAATCTACGTAAGCAGAATCAAGCCAAGCCCGCTTTGTCGCAATACAGTCAGACCGTGCCGTGGCACTTCCCGCGTCCGATTGTCAATGTTTCAATTCGGTTTTTTGAAGGTTGTGCGTCAGGCTTTCTCCCAAGTTGTTGCCACCGATAACTATATTACATCGATGACTATATTGCATCATACGGACATAGATGACTATATATATGATGCATTGATGACTCTATTGCCATGTTGCTATCGAGACTATATTAGAACTGATTTCAGACGCTGTGCCATATCTTCCTTTGAGTCGGAATCGGAGTCCACACGAAGGCGAACTAGGCACCTCGGAGTCGGATCGATCCCATGCGTTGTAAGTCATAGACGGAATCAGAGTCCACACGAAGGCGAGCTAGGCACCTCGGAGTCGGATCGATCACACGCGTTGTAAGTCATAGTCGGAATCGAATCTACGTAACTGAATGAAGCCAAGGCGGCTGTGTAACAATGCAGTCAACCGCGGTAAATCGTCAGCAAACGATTTCGTGCTCTAGAAGTAGAAGCGTAGTTAACATGCATCTGCCGTGCGTACGGCGTTCTCGTTCAACAGCGAATTTTCATGCGACCAGGGAGGCATCGGCCCCGTTGCATTGGTACTGCGTGATGCGTCGACTTTCCGTCGCAGCACGATCAAGTGACCCCGACCTACCAGACCAGATCGCTGTTATCGCGTCACATAGGTTTCGATGTCGTTCAGGGAGACGAGGAGGCCCCGCCTCAACGCAAGGATGAGAGCATATTTATGCGCGTGCGCGTGTTTCGAATGACGGCGTTCACCTCCTGGTGAACAAGTTTATGTTGTTAAGGTCCAAAGCTAGACGCCTCCTGTCGTGCCTACAGGTGATTTGTGGACTGTGCTGACACGTAACGGGACTGCGATGGCGCCCGCTCACAGCTCGCACTTGCTCTCACTCCCCAGTGCGGCGTGCTCGAATGTCGAAGCAATCTAAAAAATCCGTTTTAAAAACTCACAATTCGTCGCGGCGCCAAAGCCTCTCCGACGCAAACAGAAAAGCCGACCCAATCGCAGAGTTCCTCTTATTGAAACAGTGCATGTACGCCAGATTACGCGAGAACATAACACCACACAGCGTGACAACCAAGTGCAACACTCCTGACAGTCCTGCGAGGATCAGACGCTCCCTCATTGGTCCTCCGGCGAACAGGAAACGTAACATACGGACAGAGCCGGCGTCCGGCCGAGACGCAGCGCTACCTACCTCGACCACTCTGTCTTTCCCAGTCGGGGCGTTTTCGTGCTCTGGATGCTTACGACGCCTTTCCGATGGACAGCAGACGGCATCTCCCAGTTCCTTCTGTCATGCGCGTATCTCGCGAAGAGCGCGTCTCCATTTCCCCAGCTGGCCCGGAGGATTCCAGGTCAGGTCAAGTCAGTCGGGTCAGGTCACGCTCAGAGAGCGGGCCAGCCTCAGCGCCAGTTCCGACCGCCGCCGTCCCGGACCAGAGTACGCTGGAATGACCACCAGACGGCGGAGCGCTGTCGACCCGGACGGGGCCAGACAGGGCCTGATCGGACAGGACCAGACAGGCCAGACAAACCGGTCGCATGTGCAGGGCGCCGGCGGACACCGTCTTTGTCGCCGCGCCAACGCAACTATGTACATGATTCCAAGCGTACGCGCCGGCGATAACAACACACATTGTAAACTTTGTCAAATACTGAACAACGGCGGCGACGGCGCGCAGTTTGAGCTGTGACCTCGGTGGCGACTGGCCGCCGTACACAGGAGATCGGCCTCACTGGCGCGCGCGCGGCGCGCGCCACGCGCCACGGACGCCAGCCGAGTCAGGGGTGGCGGCGCGCCGCGCTCAGACCCTGCGCCATGCGCGCCGATCACAAGCTCGCTGATCCCACCCCGTACCGCACCAGTTACAGAAAAATACACTCACAAATGCAGCCGGCGGCATCCCGTCGTCTATGTACAGGCGAAAGCGTGCATAAATAAACCTCCAAACAAGCGGACATGCATGTCATCCGGGTACGGCATGAAGCGAGCTTTGTCGCTCGGGCCAAGCGGCGGAACTATAAAACGCAAGTAGACTAGCTGGCCGGTAGGTGGCGACACTACCACTAGCGTTTGTACGTGAACGGGCTAGATCGGTCTAGTTGCCGGACACCTCAGGAGGCGTTTGCGACACGATCGGCGCGGGGCCTGGCGCCGGCGCCGACACGGCCCAGTTGTTGAAGGCGTCCCTGAAACGGCCAGAACGCTGTCATGAGCCACGCGCGGGCTGGTCAGGCGTGAAGAATCCTCCTGGATTCCAATGGCGAACCGCTCGCCCGCGGGTCAGAATGCACCTGTTTTGCATCGATACATCTAATGTCATCTGTGCTTTTCGTCCCGATCCACAAGCATTAAGGCTTCATCACTGGCCCGGGAACAGCTGTGTGCACGCCCTCCGCTCGCACGATCCAGATGCGCCAGCAGTAATTCAATGCGATGATGGAGAGTTCCACGCGCTAACTTTTAAAAATCGTACTTTTGCTCCCTAAATGTGCATGACGTACTTATGAAGTCGACATCTGTGCTCACAGTACTTTCTCAAAGCTGGAACTATTGATCGTATAAACTGTCCGTTGTAACAGCTATCTGAGCTCTTGTTGTTAGAGCATAGTCGAGTCATGGTCTCTTTATCCCGTGAAAAGCGGACATTCAGTAACGGACAACCTCCTTTACGAAATACATATCTCTTTCAGGAATGATCAGACACTGATAAAGTTCCGCTTACCACGGTGACGGTGAGTGACGATAGGGAGTGTGTGTCATCGTGTGAAGTTTGTCACTTCGTCTGCGTCATGATCCTCGTCAGCCCCGCTATTCATGCATGTTATCTGGCCGCCACTGCACACCCCGTCGCTGACTGGAACAATGGTCTCCCACAATGCCAGGAGCGTGAGCGTACCTGCAGCCGTTTGCCATGCCGGCGCCGCCGCCGTAGGTGTCCTCCCACTCGGGGTTGCTGCCATTTGCGGCCGGGCTGCCGCTGGTCGCCACCGGCGAGCCGTTGGAGTTGTTGGGACTGCCCTGCGAGCCGGGCACCTCCACCTGCTGCTGTGGGTGCTGCTGCTGCTGGTGTTGCTGGTGCTGCTGCTGGTGATGGTGCAGCGGCGACGGCTGCTGATGGTGCTGGTGCTGGAGGTGGTGTACGTGGTGCTGGTGCGGCGACAGCTGCTGCTTCAGCGCCATCTCGTGCATCTCCTGCTGCTGGTGCTGCTGCATCATCAGGTGGTGCTGGTGTGCCAGCTGCTGCTGGTGCGCGACCAGCGGGTGGGTCGGCGGGGACGGGCCCAGCGCCGAGCTCAGCGCCGGTGGCGAGGCCAGCGGCGGCGGCGGCGACAGCACCGACGCCAGACCCGGCGGCGAGTGGGACGCCACCTGCTGTTGCTGCTGCTGCTGCTGGGGGCTGCCCAGGTGGTGGTCCGACATCTGCCGGACGACGGGAAAGGTCAGCACTAGGCGCGACATCTATCGCAAGAGAGGCGAACCACAGCCTGAGCCCGCCACCGTCTGCCGTAGGCCGGCCCGGACCGACGTATCAGGCCACGGGTGAAGTGCTTGAGATGACGCTGACATATGAGTTCCGAATTGAATTCGGCGCAGAACTACACAAAACATTCAAAACAGGTTATGATGAATCTCCGCAAAAAGTGAGGTACGCGTAAACAACGAAGCTTGTCTATGCATTGTGCTGCGGAGCCTGCCGAAGCACCTGATGATGGCAAGCGTACACTTCGGCCAGATAAAGTAATTAACGTTCCTTGGAACCTGCTCCAAGTGCAGAAGGTCTGTCACTACTTCTCACATACCGCAACACTCACTAGGTGCGCAACTATTTCCAGGTCACCCACACGCATGACGCTGCAGAAACGTAATGAGAATCCCGCTTCCTCATTGGTCGGGTAGTTCTCAAGCTTCAAGGAAAGTACGACGAATTACTCGTGTCTGGCGGGCATCAGCACAATTTGTGGCACCAGCGGATATCAGCTGACCTTCGACCCGAATCAAGTTTTGTGATACGTAACGCAGGAATTTGGACAGTGGTACGAGCTATGTCAGAATTCAGACCGGGAATTGACTACCTTCAGCAAAGGCGGCATAAGAGAGCAGCTGAATGTAAGTAATCAATTTGGAATCATGGACGCATATACAATGAGGAAGGGCCAAGACACGAGCACATACTGATATTCGGGTCCAGGAAGCACGTAGCAGCAAACACCACATCTCGGCAAGGTGAAGTACTGCAAGTAAGTCAACTCATCCGCTACAGTGGCAATTCTATCAGTTAGTTTGGCAGCGACTCTGAAGCCATAAAGACATTCCATGACATCATCAAACAAGCGTGTTGAGGAACATATTTAATGAATAGTGGAGTTGTATTGCCTAGAGCAGTCTTTTATGCCTAGATGCAACACATAATTACAAAAGAGCTTAGTTCACCATATTTGATGATTGCCTCCATATCCTCAAATGTCAAACATTTCCTTCAACTCAGATTAAGGGCTGGCGTCGTACCTGCTGCTGCTGTTGCTGCTGTTGTTGCTGTTGCTGCTGCTGTTGCTGCTGTTGCTGTTGCTGCTGTTGCTGCTGCTGCTGCTGCTGCTGCTGCTGCTGTTGGTGATGATGGTGCATGTAGAGCGCCTGAGACACGGGCGGCATGAGCAGCCCGGCCGGCTGGTAGCCGCCGCCCGGGATACCGGGCCCGAGCCGCGGCTGACCCAGCATGCCCTGGGGCGGCGGGTACATGGCCGGAGGCGGCATCAGGCTGCCGGCCGAGTCCTGCAGAGGGAGCGACCCCGTCAGCCGCGGCCAACACCCAGCTCTGGCGCAGACACACAGACTCGCGTCTTTCGCGCAGACGCACAGATTCGTCTTTTCTGTTCACGAGGAGCACGTGCATGGTTTGGGACATGCAATGCATATATGAACTTACCCGTCATTTTAGCTGTGCAGGCGCCTCCTACCAAACCAAAAACGCCGCATGTCATCGCATCACGGACGTAGTTTTGGCGCATTCGAAGAACCTCTAAGGGTCGCTCACGTTTATCAAGGCGATGTCTCCTGTCACCATCACCAGTATGATATTTCACAGATCCCGATGCCATTCCGCGTACCTCCAGATTCATTTCAGGTGACGGTTACGGTTACGGTTACGGTTACGGTTTCAGGTTACGTAACCGCTTCCCGGGACGGCCGCCAATCCCAAGACAGAATCGATGGCACCCGACAATGAGAAGATGGGCAGCGGCATGGAGCCCCACACGGGTTGGCGAGTCGGAACAAATTTAGGTCGCTCACAACGCGAGCGATGACGACGTCCTTGCGGCTATCTCGGCTAGTGCCCCATAAACGGTGTACACAGGCGAGACAGATAGCATATTTTTACGTCAGGTATAACGTGATAGTCGCTTGTGGTGGGTGGCAAACAACACGCAATGCGGCGCAGCGCCGTGCAAAGTGGTGCATAGCGAGTCAGCCTCGATCGGGCGGGGTCGGGCCGACAGACGAGCGCGGCGCATTGCGTGTGACGTGATACTAAGCCGACGCAAACTGGCAATATCATCCGCACAAATCCCGCCGACCCCACTTTGCACGGCATGTGATGCTATCCTGACGAACGTTTCAAGGATCGATACAGATCAAACTGCAAGTTCCTTTCCGCCACCCCCGGCCGTACAACAATGGCAACTGCCCCTGATGTGAGAAACAGCCATGTTGGAAAGAAAACTGGAGCCGTTTGATGACGTGGGTTAATTGCATGCTATTGTTAGGCATGTGGAACAGCTGATTGCGTATGTTCTGTGCTATTGTTTTGTGCCCGCGACCGCCACCCACAACGGTGCCATGTTGCGGCTTCTCTTTTAGACCATTTTACCAGGTTGGCTGTTGCAGTCCCATTCCGCCCCTCGGAGCTACGACAAAGTCCACAGAGACTCGTCCCCTTACTCATTCGTGCAACGCCATGGGTCGAGAACATCCCGTTCCCGTCGTAAGTGAGGGATGACTTAAAATAACCTTGACACGCTATGTCCCTTTACAAATGGCGATATTATAACCCGTTTCCACTTCGTCCAAAGGAATCCCGACCCAATGTACCCTCCGGTCTCCCTGACTCCTGTCGTCCCCCTCACCTGCTGCTGGCGGCCGTCATATCCTCCTCCGCCTTGTCCCCGGGATCCTGACCCGCTGGTCCGTTCAGTCCCTCCTGACCCGTGCCCTGACTCACCTGCTGCTGGCGGCCGCCACACCCTTCTCCTCCTCGTCCCCGGGATCCTGGCCCGCTGTTCCCTTCGATCTCCCTGACCCTGCCGCCTTCCTCACCTGCTGCTGGCGGCCGTCACACCCTGTTCCGCCTCGTACCCGGGGTCCTGACCCTGCTGTTCCCCTCGGTCCCCCTGACCCCAGCCGTCTCCCTCACCTGCTGTTGGCGGCCGTCACTCATCAGAGAGCTGAGCAGCGGCGATTTCTTGGCCAGCGCCGACTGGGCGCCTGGCGGCGCCGTCGGCCGCGAGTACGGCGTCGGGAAGCCGCCGTTGGCGTAGCCAGGCCCCGGCGCCACCGCCGTAGCCGCCGTAGCCGGCGTATAGGCTGGGGGAGCGCGGCTCCTCCGTGTTGTTCTGGGGGGGGAGGGGGAGGTGGGGTGTTCAGATGACGATCCCACGACAGAACTTCTGACGCAATTAGTTGTTCACGACATGGCATTGCTTCTACGCGACAAAACGTTTCGCACAAAAGCTTCCAACGAAAACTTCCACGCAATATCACTTCGAACGCAAGAACTTCTAACGCGTTAACATCTAAGGAACAAAAACTCAAAAAAATCTACATATCACTTCTAAAGCCAGAATATTTAAGGCATATACTGCTACGTGACAAAACTTCTGAAGCAACAGCTCCTGACGGGAATAGTTCAAACAGGCTGTCATTTAAGGCACGGGAAGTGTGTTCCAAAGTCCGGACATTAGGGTCTCTTACCAACAGAGCTTTCTCATCATCTCTGCACGGCTTGGACTCCTTTCTCCATACCGAGATTCTCTGCTCATTGTCATTACCAGGGGCCTACGAACTGGTACCTTATCAGGAACTGACCAGGCCAGCTTCTTCTTCGTCTCAGGGGGCCCCAAGCGACACTACGATCCTCGGGCTGACATTTTTGGTCACCGGACCTGTCTAAGGTTGGCCCAATAGATCCACTGGGTTGCACAGCCCTGATCGGTCCTCACGGAGACCACTTTGTTGACTGCCAGGGGGCCTGACCCCTGACTGACAAAGAAGCCCTCTCATTGTCTCAAGGCAGAAGAGTAGTCCCACAAGGTGAGTTGGCGGGGGGGGGGGGGGGGGGGGCTGAACATGCGATAAATGACGCAACCTAAGCCCAAAATATGCCAACAAATGAGGTCCTCACTGAATTTGGCCCATTTTTCCCCTCAAAGTTTGTGGGGTTGCAGCACAAGTTGGGTTGGGTGGGTGGGGGGAGGGGGGTGGGGGGGTGGAGTCCACCTAGTGAGAAGGAAACTACACCCCTGTCTCAAGGTTATCTCAGCGATGCAGGAGGCTCTATTATCGACATTCTTGGACCCCAGCAACACCTTCATTCTGTTAATGGGATCTCTGTCTCACACAAAAACATCTTCCCCATACGGTTCAAGAGGCCCTGTTAACAACTGGGGCTTCGAGGAACTTCAAACTTTGGGTGTGTGTGTGGGGGGGGGGGTATCCGTTGTCTCAATTACTGGCATTCGCGGGCCATCGCTCTGTTCTTGTTCAGTTATTAGAGCCTCTGTTCAGTATTGGGATTCCCCTGCTCAGTACCAGACCCCTGACCTACAGATTGATATCTTCGATTCCTCAAGGGCCCACGGGCTACGACAGAGCAGGTCATCTGACCTATATTATGGAACCCTGACTGTGTTACTGTTCCACAGATGGGGCCCTCACTGGTAGTGGACGCTGTCCAGTGCCGGGCCTCTGACCAGGGTAATTTTCTGGGTCAAGTATGCCGTGTAGAAGTCAAGGCGTTCACAATTTTGAGCTAGGAGCAATGTTGCATAGGAGTTGTAGGTCAGGAGGTACGACGCGTAGGAGCCATGTCGTGCAAAACTTTGCATTCGAATTTAAAGGGAGCGTTTCACATTGGCAAGGGGGTTTTGAACTGAAATGAACACCTTGAAGATCATTCGGCGCAACCACAGCCCTGCCCTTCTTAAGGTCTAAACCTTTGTAGTTTCTGAGCTACGCACTCACGAAAGTGGTTCGCAGGCTATTTCGGGGGGACTATTCGGGGAGACTAGATTATTTCGGGGAGACCTTCTTGCAGACTTTCTTTTACTTGAAGGCGTTCAGAAGCCTACACTGAACGAACGTGGCCAGGACAGTATTCAGAACCGACTGAGTGGTGAGGCTTCCACTTTTCAGCCACTATTGATTCGCTGTTGATGAGGATGATGATTGTTTGGGCTTAAGGGTGCGCCGGTTACGTCGATCATATGGCGCAAGTACAGTCCAAAACCAGGACACGGCCATGCTCAAAACAGCTGGTATCGCAAGGCAGCCCAAAACCTTCCGGCCAAAGAGGATGAGTTCTTACTTTCACGCTGCCGGAGCAACGAAGTGGCCATGGCCGGGCCCACAGCGGCAGTTTTAGGTATTTGCGGTCAGAGAATAGAAAGCGGTCTGAACAGGAAGTGCCGCATCGTAGCTGACGATCTCTCCACGTGCAATGCGCGTTACGACACGGGGTCAAACCGGCATTCTTTTTCACATCCTCTGCAGCCAACAATTCAGTGTCAGACTGGCTGTGAAGGATTGCAGGACGGGGTTTCGCGCCGCGTACCTCGCCGCCAAAGTGCATATGATTGGGGCTGTCTCTTACCTTTGAAATCAGACTAGCCCGATACGCCGCCAATGCCTTCAGGTACTCTTTCTTCGCGTTCTCTGTCTTCTTCTTGTACATCTGAAGCACAGAGGACCACGAGTGAAGACAACACAATCGTCGACCTAACAAACGCGCATAGCCTGCACCTGGCCTAAGACTTCTCCGACAGTCCATAGCGTGGACTTTGATGCGCCGTAACTGCGTCTTTTTCGGCTTGTCGCTGTGACGGCGCAGCTACATTGTCACACCCAGCCAGCGCGCCGCCTCCGCTGGACGCAATTACCGGCTGAGTGGCGCGAGCTTCAACCGGCCCGGCGCGCAATCCGGGCCTGGTCCGAGCAGCGGCATGCACCGATATTGCCGCTCTCCGGCTGGACGCCATTGGGTACAGGATTGGAACACTCGGCGCCGATACGGACACCCAATAACGGCCACGCCACTCCTGTTGAACCCCGCACAGGGGCGGGCGGACGCTCCGAGCTGAGCACGTGGCGAGAGAGGCGCGCTGATTACGCATGACGTCGTTTGCCGTATTTGCTCCGCGCTTGTCACGAGGTCGCCTATCAGTTCCTGCGGCTTCTCCGCAGTTCCGTGGTGGATTTCTGCAGACTGCTCCGGCCCCCACCGGTCGATGTCGTTTATGGTCGCCTCATGAACTCGCTCCAAACTTGGCAAGGCAGTGGCATGCGACTGTGACTAAGCACCGCTTACTTAGCACCCCGGAGTCAACGTCATCACAAGTCAAGATCACTAGAAAAACAGCCTTCAAAAATAAAGTAGTTGACGCCTCCAAAGCCTGAAACTTCTGTTTCTCTGAGGCATTGTCACATGCTTGCAAAACATAGCCTGTGAAAGGTCCGCAAACGTGGCATGAACAGGCGTGTCAAGTTTTGAGCCAATAAGCGCGGCATTATGAGCCTTATCGAGTTTTGGTCACGAAACACAAACATGTTAAATCGCATGGCGAGCAAAAGCGAGTTTTTTTGTAGCAGAGGTGAAGAACTTGCAGGGTCTGAGCCCCTTCTGCGGCCCCCCGAAAACAGCGCTGGACCCATGGGCGGTCAGAAAGATCCTGGGACCGGACCCTACCTGGATGCCTCCTCCCCCAAATAGCACCGAGACGATCCAACTTATCACGTATTGTTTTACCTCACACAGTGTTCTGGACCCCTCTCTGGAATATCCCGCTCACTTTGTACGTGACCTCAAGCTGCCACCATGGTCGGAGGAGCACTTAACTCCGCATCGCCAACAGTCCTGCAGCAGCATCGACTCGGGATGCTGGGTTGGAGCCGTGAGAATGGCCTCAGTACAGAGCAGCGAGGCCGGCCAGTGTCCACAACGGCCGGGAAATGCAGATAAACCTCGCCGCGATCACAGCAGAGTACATGATTGATAACGAATCTATGACATTCCACTCCAGTTCTAATAGCCCAGAACGCCATTTCGTGGTGGAGATTGGATCTTAAGTGCGCCAAATGCATTATCTAATGGTTCTCCTTGATGCTTAATCCCACAATAAAAATGACTTACAGGCGTATTACTGCTTATCGATACAGCGCAAGGCAGTGGAGGCCATGCCCGGTCGCGAGCGGGACACAGTAGGTATGCTGGGGTTGCTCCGTGTTTCTACTGGGAAACAAGTACGCCAACGCTGGTAAGTGCTCGGCACTGAAAGGCCTTCCGACTAAAACGCATTCTTATGTTTTCTGAAGAGTTCCTCTCACTTGGTCCCCTCGAGAAAGACGCACGGAATGGCACCAAATCGACGAGCGTATACGCGATCGGGACGGGAGATACCGCTTCTCCCCTCGAACGCACGAGACCACACCTTGGCCAGCAGATCATTCGGATTTGAATGAAACATGCTGTCCGGTACATGCAAATTACGCTTCGTTCCAGGAATGGCAGTTGCATGTCTGAGGCCCGGAACACGGGCCCGATATCGTCTCATGCACTTGCAATGAGCCGTTTGTAACGGGACCGGAGACGACGCGGTGCCGGCAGGATGCGCCAGGCGCGCCGCTCCGCAGCCAAGGTCGACCAATCACCGCCGCCAGAGTCCTCTGCTTTGCATATACACTGCCGTCACAGCAGAAGCGCAACAGGACAAGTGCTGGCGAGGGAGTCCTTAACCACAGCAAGTCCGGTTTAACGTGCGGTTGCAACAGGCCGCAAAGGCCTTGGATGGATGGGTGTGCGTGCCAACGCGTGAAGGAATTCGGTGCTGGATCCACCTGTGCGCACCAACACCATCCTATCCTGTGTGGCTGTATGCTTATGGATGACACGTCGACCCATCAAGTCAAGTGCTTTCCACCAGCAAACGGCACAGCAGCTGGCGATCACGTGATCTTAGCAGACGAGCACAGCATTGTTATTCCTGCTTGCATCGGACCACATCTCGATGGGACGCAGCGCCCACGCGGATTCTACCCGTGATTCTACCGAGACGTTGCTACACCGCCGGGAGCGCTGCATCACCGCGCGCCACTTGTCCGTCGCTTAGCAACGGTCGAGTAACACACCGACGTTCTGAGACAGTGAGACCGGTAAATGCGGCGACTCCGTGTAGATACAGCATTTGCGCACAGACAATGCGTGTATTGCGGGCTGCTTTGGTCATTTTTAATAGTGCTATCACTGTTGCTGCAAGAAAAACATGCACTCGACGTGTATCGCAAATCATTACAACCATTTGTAGAGGCTACGAACGTTGCTTGTTGCGAATTCCAGCGATCTTCCAGCATACTTACATTTTTATTGTCAGTCTCCAACGCTTCCCACATGGAGGCAACAATCTTGCTGACCTCTCCAAAACTGGCGTTCGGGTTGTGACCCTTGATGGTCGCCTGGGTTGTCGCGGAAAAACAAAGCGTATGCCGACACGGGCCTGGGGGCACACAGAGGTCAGAGGTCAAGGGCGAGCGGGGGTCAGAGGGCCCGGAGGGTTGAACTCCGGTTGCGTAACCGTCCGGGAGTCGGCGCACGATTTACAATCATCGGAAAGTGGTACAGCGCTGGCGCAACGCATCTTCCGACAGCGGCCGGGTCAAAGTTGACCCGGCGTAACAGGCGGGCTTCGACCACGGTCGCGCCGGTCAATGGCAGGCCCCGGCCTTTGGAGCCGGTGTAAACAGGAAACGACGCCATGCTATCGGGCCCGATGTCGATGGAGTCCTTGAAGCCACGTTCAGTCCGGCCCGGGCAGCACATTCGAAAGATAATGGTGGTATTTCAGTGAAAGCCACAAAACTGTCCCGCGCGGAGTGATGGTGATTGCTATTGCTTTGAGCAGCTCGCATGTTTGTCAGACGGACTGCGCTTTCATGCCGGCGTGCGCAGAGCACATGCCGTGACAATCAGCTGGCGTCGGAATGCACAGTCTGCGCATCACGTCGAGGTCTCAGCACATTAGTAGTGTACATCAGATGACGAACACGGCGGTACATCGCGAGCACAGGGCCTTGCCACGTCACGGTCTGTTACTTCCCCGGCATGCTGAAGCCGCGACGTAGATCGTGTGTCTTTATAAATGGCTCCGGAAGGAGCACCGCGGTAGTTCTTATTCGCTTCGAAAACTCCGTTGTCTCAACGTTCCCCTGCAGCATCTTGTAAAGATAGCAGCCCGATTCAAAATGGCCGCGCACATAAATGGGAGAATGTCCGTGTTCACCGCTTGCGAAAAGCACGCTGGCTGGCAGCCTGTCGGCACCGTTATTGGCCATCCACGCTCACAAAAACACGACACGCCCGCCCGCCGCCAGTGCCGAGCCTTTTTCATAAATTTCGAATCGTAAACAAGCTCGTAAACGTTAAACTGGGACAGGGCCCAATCGAATTAAGAGAAAGGAGGAAGTTGCGTTGACAAAAAACACGCATAAGTCAGAGGCCGATTGAAACGTGGTGATTGGTGGGGCGCTTTCCTCCGGGCGGCGGCGGCGACGGCCGGCGGATCCCGGTAGCCGCCGATGAGGAGCATGGCCGGAGGAGTCCCAGGCCGTCAGGGCGACATCTCCGCTGATTGATGCCAACTCTGTTTTAAACTGCGACATCAAGCCGAAAGGTCAGCGCCCGGGGCTAATTTCGTCCTGAGCCTGAAGCGCCGGTGGGCTCCCACGTAACCGGAGGACGTGTCTCCTGGCCGGTCACGTCCGCCTCCCAGACAGTCCGGTGTGCCGCTCCCCTCCCCCTAGCTCCCTCAGTCACCTCCCTCCCTCAGTCGCCCTGTGACGGCCCATCTCGCCAACTGCGGCCTGTGGGAGCACGAGCGCAAGGTGCACGGAGAGGTCTCTCTGTCGTCGGTCAGCTCTGTGTCCGATGAGAGGTCCGACGATGGTCCGACGACGCGAGGCCCTCCCTCCCTCCCTTCCTCTCCTTTTCTCAACGCAGCTGGTATTCAGCGCGCCAGCTAAGGTATACTATCCGCAGCTGCGGTGGGAGGAGGCGGGGGGGGGGGGGGGGACGATGCCGTAAATAGTCGACTGGGTGTCAGGCTGGCGCCGCTCCGTCTGCCGGCTGTACCCACTTCCCCGCCCTGCATAACCCATTCCCATAATGCACGGTCTACAATGCTGGCAGCAGCCCAGTCCACGAGCACAGGCGGGAATGGAACACAATGCCGTGCGGTGGCGGCCAGACACGAACTGCCCCCCCCCCCCCCCCCCCTACGCCGCACCGATCTTCGTCGTCACGCTATCTTTCCGCTGTTCTGCACCTCCCCTCCCCCTCTACACTGCACGACACCCAACGCGCACGCGCGGACATCCAAAGCAGAGGAAATTTTCCACCCGCATCTGTCGCTGAGGCCCCCCGCACCGACTTCGTTAGCACTGTTGAATTTTGGTCTTGGCCGGCCCCACCGGTTCTCAGCAGCCGACCGCCTTCTACTCAATGGAATTGAGATTTAAGTACATGTTCTGCCGGCGATCCGCCCGGGGCAGTCACATTCCCTCCACGGAATCACCCAGGTCTACTCTCGCGCCGGCCGTTAACGGCACACGAGAATCAAATGCCGGCAGAACGAGGCACGTTTAAAACGAGCTAATGATAGCTCACGACGAGCCCGGAACACAACCGCTCTTTCTTTCATTAGGCCGAACCGCTGCAAGCGATGAAGGAAAAATGAAACCCCAAGAGTCGGTGATGTTCTGCAGCAATGCGAACGGGACCGTTGCCTACACCACTAGCGAAATTGCACACAGGGATACAGGATGAGAGGCCACAATCAGAGCATAAACGAGCAGACATTGGTCTCATTCCGACGGTTCAACCACAAACAACGGCAACAGCGAGCACGAATGGAAACACAGCGCCTGGAGCCATGTGACGACGACAAAGGAAACGACGCCACAGACGATGCCAGCCCTTCGTCCAGGCGGACGAAGGAGCGGCGCGAATCCGTCGGTATCCTTACTTTTCAGGCTCGTTGGGGTCCCGTTTCTTCCTCTTTCTCGTGACCCTGGGCTTCTTGGCAGGCTTCATGCTGGTCATATCGATTTGGGCGGGCTCAGGAGACGGTCGCTCGCCGCGCATCCACTGCCGGTCACGGAGCAGGGCGGGGTCAAGGGCGCGGTCAGGGCGGGGTCAAGGGCGCGCCCGGTACCAGGCTCGGCACGACGGCCGTGCGCCGCGGCGGTGCACAGCGGCAAACGCGACGACAAAGTGACGTCAAAAGGTGCGCGGCGGAGGGGAACGCGGTGTCCAGATGAACGGGGGGGGGGGGGGGGGGGCAGAGCTCGATGTGCTGGTATGAAGAGCGCAACAGGACTGCAGCGCACAGCACGGTTAGGCCCCACGGAACAGTACGAGAAGACTGCCCGTCACAGCACTGCGCACAGCCGGCCAAAGCATGACCGCGCTCTCGGACAGAGTGCGGGACACAGCACAGTCACCCCGGGACCCCGGTGCTGCGGGGCACAGCACAGTCACACTGTTATTGTGACACTCCAAGCGATATATGCGAAGTGAGTGTAGTTCTTGGCACTCCAAGCGTTGTATGCGAGCTGAGTGTAGCTCTGAGGACTGTAATCGGAGAGTTCAACGTACCAGGGCGACGTCATGGCTGCACCATCTAAAAGAATCAGCGCCACTTGGCATGTGCCTGTTCTAGCTAAAGTTGAACCAGTTAAACCCCCAGGCCAGCTTTACAGCTCTGCCACAAGACCTGTTGGTTTCCAATGCCCTCACCTGTTAAAGGGAATTCTTTACGGTCACGCGGTTAAATTACAAATACCCACCGCAACAGTACAAGCAACCAGGTGCTGCTATTTAACAGCCCACCAGGGATACCGAGGTCCAAACCTGCTTGGCAACCCACAGCCCATCTGCCGAGATTCCCGGTAAAGGGGTGGCGTGACCGGTTCCTTGCACAGAGAACGGGGAACCTCTCCAAAAGCTTACCAGCGCAAGAGGCTCGGAAAACCACAAATCGTGTCCCAACAGCCCTACACAATACCACCAAAGCTCTTTCCCGAAATGACTGTCCACAGCAATAGTCCCTCATGTAAGCCTGTATGCACGGACATTCGGCTGTCCTGCTGCTTTATCTGGACGTACCACATGCGCAGTAAATACATTGGGACGTGGCAAGCACGACTGTGAGAAACAACCGATAAACACATAGCATGTTCCTCTCCGTTGACAGTCTGCCACGACAAGTTAGTGTAAAGCTGTTCTAAATTTGTGCACGCAAGCGGCGACACAGTAAACAAAAACGCAGGGCATACGGCACGTGACGGAAGACAACTTGCAAGCAGCGGGACACTAGCGGAAAACCTACAAACAATGGCGCTAACATACGTATTTCAAAAACACCCAAAACGTGCATTGGTTTTAAAGTTACACTCAATGCACAAAAGATCTGTATTTAGGCAGAGTCCTTACCAAATTAATACACTCCTTGAACACTGTAACAAAACGAAAGAAAGCCCGACACCTGTTTCTGTGTTTCCAGCATATAAATAGGTACGAAATCCTATTACTTGTGAGGCAACCGTGAAATGCACCAGTAATAATCCTGCAGATGACATCAAAACCAAGGCTAAGTAAGCCAGATGGCTACAAGAGCCATTAGTGGGGTCTTTATGTTTTAAGTCTCTCCTGATAAGGGAGTTTAGCAGGCAGCAGTCTACTAACGTAGTGTTCGCCTACCAATATCGCACTACCAGAACACTGGCTGGGCGTGGGTCTGGTCAGGCCCAGAAACTCTAGTTGTCGAAATCAATGAGTTTGTAATGATCTGCACCATACTTCGACCGCAGCGCTCTAAACCCACACAAGTGTTTGGCTGGTCTCTGGTCAGAGTAGCCCGGACTAACCGTCTATGCGGTTTTAGGGGCAGCGACTCCTGGTCAGCGCATAGAGTGCTGGACCAGTGACGGCTTTCGAAAAAGCAGGCATCAGTTGCCTCCGGCCCATTATTAGTGCACTAGGGTAAGAGTGCTGACGTCACTTATATTGACACAAAGAAGGCACATTTGCCTGTACGGCGTAATTGTCTTTTTCACATCTCCGTTCTTGTTGCCGAGACCTTACACAACTTCTTAAACTAACCAAAATGAACGGCCCCATGGTTAACACTGAGCGCGCATAGCCAGCTGTACGCATCGAACCACACCTTGGCGCACACAATTTTCCTTCCTTCTCCGTGCAGGGGTAATGGTGCCATCGAGATATAGATACGCTGTCCACCAGCGCACGTAGTAGCTGCCCACCCGCGCAGACAGCAGCTGTCTACTCGCGCAGACAGCAGCTTGTCACCCGCGGCAGACCCTTTTCCAATAAAACAATTTTATGTTTCTTATGTCAAAGGAAAGTAGGTGGCTGTTTTTTTGTGCGAACTGCAACACTTCAGGAAAAACCGCGCCTGATCAAACAACAGCTTTGCAAGTGAACTAGACTGCCCAACATCTGAAAAATCACTTTTTGCTGCCGAAAACCGCATCAAGTTTCCACCGGTGGTAGCTCAGATAACGGACGACAGAAGGCTTAACGGACGGGCGGGGACGATTAAGTTGACGATTGCATCCCTGTTAGAGCGAGACTAGCTCGGCTCGTGGCCTCGCTCATAATAGTCTCGGAAGCATCTTAACGCTGGCAAGTGCTCTGATGCGGCCGAGTTTGCCGTCCGCCGTCCGCTGGGACGACTTTGAAGTTTGAAGCAAGCCATTCCACACACTCCACGCGTTTGACACGCTTGCCAAAGCGCATGTCTGTCAACCGACTTGCCAAAGCGCATAGTGTCAATCAATCCGACAAAACCGAGCTGCCCCCCGCCCCCTCCCCCTCATAGAAAGAGACAGAGGACACATTCGCAAAATTTAGCATGTTTGCTAGCAGATTCGAAATACTCGTTGCCCTTGTACAGAGCGAAGCGAGTCATGCGAATCGGTTGCTAAGCCTTACGAATGAGTTGAATGTGCCGGGTGGCTGGGTATCTGACCAAAATGAAAAGGTCCGCGCATGCGCCGGATCATTACAAGACATTAAACCTAGCGAATGCACTAAAATAATGTCAAATGTTTCGAACCGGCCACCAACTACGCGAACGTCTAAAACGTACTAAGCCACACTTTCAGCCTGTGCTACAGCGCACAGCGTCGTCAGCACAGCACCAGCGCCAGCAAACGTCCACGTCACGCCCGCTCAGCGTGGCTTATCTGCCCCGGGGCCAGGCGAAGAGACGTCACGGTCCCACGAGCAGTGACGCGGAACAAAGGGACGATGACGAGGCCCGCCCTGTTACAACGCGCCCGCCGGCCGATAACCCAAACACGCAGTCCGTTTACTCAATAGACGGATATCCTGGCCCGTTTCCTTCCTGTGCAAAGAGCGCCCGGCGCGGAGGCGACACGACGAAGGAGTCGCCCCACTCCCCCCCCTGATCATGATAGTTTCTGATAGCCGGCGACCCAGCGTGGCAGCTGTATCTGGAGCGGTCGATGTTTGAAAGGTCACTGAACTGTGCACCGGACCGCAGCGCCGCTGTCAGGTAAGACGCAGCGGCCGCTGCCGGACCGCGCGTGCGCAAGCCGGTAGCTCGGCACTTCGTGCGTGCGCGCGTGCGCGCGTGCGTGCGTGCGTGCGTGCGTGCATGCATGCGTGCGTGCGTGCGTGCGTGCGTGCGTGCGTGCGTGCGTGTGTGCGTGCGTGTGTGCAAGCGTGCGTGCGTGCAGGAGTGCGTGCGTGCAAACGTGCGTGTGCTTATATACGTGCGCGTATGGTACGCAGTTTCGTGCGTACGTTTGCGCGCACCCGCGCTGTTGTGCGTCAGATACGCTTACGTTTCGTCCAGTAAGGACGCAAGACGGCTTAAAAAACAAAGAAATAATGTACGCAAGGGAATACATGGAAATTGAATAGTTCGGCTTATGACACAGGAATCTTCTAAATAGATAGGAAATTTGGAGTTAGCCATGTATAATAAGCATGCATTATATTAGATACACCACCATCACCATCCCCCAACACCACTATCTATTCGGACGACATAAAGCAAATTCATGTATCATCCAATATACAAAGGTAACAAACGGAATCAAACGCAGAACAGTGCGGGGACCGTCCTGCCCCCATAAATAAATTCGCCACGTACATCTGATGCATTACGGAGCTTTGCACTACATTGGCCGCTTCCTTCGAATGGCCCGTTTTTGTAGGGCCGGGGCGATTACCCCGCTACGGTATTCATGATGACCTACATACCGCGGGCCTTTCATCGGTACATCAAGATAAGGAAGGAGAGAGGTATGCAGAGTGACGGTAGAAAGAGGACTCATAAAGGAAAACAGCCACATGAAGGGGAACACAATGCTAATGCCACAGGGACGTCATGCGTCCACCAACAGAAACCTCGCTTTCCGTTGATGTGAAAAGGAAAAGGCAAAAGGGACACGATGGACCAAAACGCTGCGGGCAGCGCCCTCATCAGTGACTCAACACTCACAACAGCCACGCGTGAAGACATCTTCCCGCAGCTGGAACACTCAAATGTTAACGGTCTTCTCAGCGACGCTTACGCCATTACGCTGTTACACTGGCGCCGCCTCTAGCCCTACCGCCGGCCATCATCCCCCCAGTTCGCGGTGCTCCTCGAGTCGCTGTTAGCTGGTCCTCATATCGCACCCGATCAATGCCTCCCAGCCCAGCACGATCCGGCCGGATTCCGAGGCCCGGCTGTCTCCGCTGTATCATTTACAGAGAAGTTGCCAGTCCGACAAGAAAACAAGCCGCGGCCCAGCCGCTCTATCGAGCCGCAGCCGACTCCAGCATGATTGAATGAATAAGAATAATATATGACGGGTGATTTGTTTCCGAAAAGTATGCGCACTGCGCAAATCCCAGAAGACGTCAATACTGGCGGCACAAAACAGGGCGCCGCAGTGAAGCGGGGTGGGCCCACCACCCCATGTCTACGACGAAAAACAAGAAAACCAAAGCCATGTCGGAGACGGGACCATTCCAGGAAAATGAATGCCATAATCTAAGGAGGACATAGCTCTGCTCGACTGGCGTGCTTAGCGGATGTCCTAAGCTTATTTGTACGGCAAGAAACAGATCCGCGCAGATTCGGTTGTGATTACAGTTATAAAGGGAGATGACAGAAGCATACACACCAAACCATTTCCGGGAAACAGACTACAGCAGTCAGGCGAGGAATGGCGCGAGTTGTACGCGTGCTTAACACAAATATACAAAACATGTGACAGGAAGGGATCAATGCCTCGTCCAAACAACTGCCGCGCAAGACCGCCCAGGGACGGTTCCAGCGCCCGTCAAGACGTCTTATCAACGCACTGGTAAATGTCGACCAGCGCGAGTTGCGCAACGCAGCGGTGTTTCACAACCCGTCCTGTCGCACACCGGTAGAACGCACTCCACCAATCGCGATCGCCGACTCGTGCCTGTCGCTGCGCATTCTACCGGTTCAGAGCATGGTCGAACTTTGCGCGATGGATTCACGTCGTCTTTGTTCGCTGGAGCTGGACGGGAGTGGGTGGGGAGGGGGAGGGGTCGCCACTTCTCAGGATGACCTTTCAAGCCAGAGCAACTGAGGATCAAGCTTTAAGCGGTTTTGGAAGATTGGCATTGTGCAGGGTTATCCCACCTTTCCAGGGTCAAGACTGCAGGGGTGCTCGCCCATCACCGTCCATCCCGCAAAAGCTAGATAGTGCGCGTCTAAGGCGACGCACTGGGACCAACGCGCAATGTAGTAATCACAACCCACCATCGTAACCGGCAGTCACGTCAGGCCTACGCGCATCCGTGGGTGTGAGTGTGCGTGCGTAAGGCTCGCGCCTCGCCTACGGGCTGGTTCCCGAGCCTGAGCCTGACGACGAGTCGTCGAGTCACCCTCACCTGAACGCACGAGGTCGAGTCGTCGAGTCGTCCTTCATCTGGGCTAGGAAGGTCGACTCGTCGAGTCACCCCCATCTGAGCTAGGAAGGTCGACTCGTCGAGTCACCCTCACCTGAGCGCGCGAGGTCGAGTCGTCGAGTCGCCCCCCATCTGAGCTAGGAAGGTCGAGTCGTCGAGTCATCCTCACCTGAGCGCGCGAGGTCGAGTCGTCGAGTCACCCTCACCTGAGCGCGCGAGGTCGAGTCGTCGCTGCTGTCCTCGCTGGTCGTGTGCCCCGGCGAGTTGTTGATCCGCCCTGGTGAGCCGGTGGCTGGAGGACCCATCAGGCCGTGACCCTGCCGGCACGCGCGTCACGTGATGCAACGGTGCGACCGTCGACCACCTCACGCCCAATCACGTGGTCGCCGAGATCGCAGTGTTCGGAGCGTTATCTTGACTGCGGGTTACAGGCAATTGGCAATCTACAGGCAATTGGCAATCGCAATCGCAATACAGGCAATCGCTCCGTCTTAACCCGTAGGTCTTGTCCCGACATTGCAATCTTGAGCTGCTCTTTGTCGAGGGCGTGGAAGCCACGACAGTAGCAAGCTTACATATCTGGATCTCGCGGGCGACACAAAAATAACCATCCTGGTAATTTGATTTCTTGTCGTGAATTACTTGCAATTATTGGAAGTGTCGCACGTGTTATTTCGGACAAGCAGCAGGACATTAATGAGATTGTCCACGAAGCCGCGCGTTAATTGAGCACTGGAATATTCTTTAACTATTGCGTAACTGGTACAAGCTATCGCGGGAGTGGAAATTCTTAATTCCGAGTTGGTCAACACATTAAGACAGTCGAATTACACCGCGAAAATAAATCGAAAAGACGGCAATTTAGCTCATCAAACACTGTCAAGCGCTATCAACGTTACGGCCGTCCGTGCTGCCCACATTACAGCATAGCTTCACCACCCCTTATTACCGAGCGCAGATCCATAACTTCAGGGCAGCGTGAGCCGTGTGATTCAGCATTCGTAGCGGCGTGACAATAAGTGCATGATCAAAAATGTACTAGTTTAACAACTTAGACAGACATATTTTATGCAGATAGGTTTGCATATCTGCATTTCGTCATTAGGGCCAGAAGTTTAAAAGAGCGGCAGTTAACAGCGAAAACTTTAACCATCCAACCTGTCCGAAGCAATGGGTACAATCATAACTACCAAAGGAAAGCATAAATCCTCTTGGCATAGCCTGACCTGCAATTACATGAGATCTAACTGTCTCAGTGAATTTCTTACCACAGACGAAACAGCCTGCTAGTAATTAAACAATGCTGAAGAACACCTTACGCTGGATGACGGTGCAATCTGGACTATCCAACACCTGGTGAAGTGAGGGACAGCATCCATGATGCGCCCGCTGATTAATTCCTGGTAATGCAGGCGCATCCACAGCGGCCTACATTCGTGAGCCCATAACGCTCGCTAACACGATTACCGAGAATCTCGAGCGAAATACATCATGATTATTGCTCAGGATACACAGGCGCGTCGCCGTCATTGAATCGCTTTAGCGGCCGAGCAGAAGCTTTCCATCCGTTTCCGGTGGACATGCACTTTTACACTGAAAATCCACAGCCTCCGTTACTGCAGTTCATATATATTTTATACGTTTTTCATTGAAAACGCGAAGCTTCTTCAGTGACACACACCTTAGAATAATCGGACTGAAAGCAATTCATCCCAACTCAATCGCTAGCATTACCAGGCAGACGGGACTAAATACATTATAAACGACCAGTGCTCAGCCAAACGGTCGATCTGGCAGTGGTCTCGCAAACACAAAACGTATCGAAAAACGGAAAGACCCTGCCAACCATCCTCACAAAAACCAACGGTGTCATTTCCAGGTGAAAGAAATGATGATAGCCTGGCTCGTTGCGGCAAACAATGCAGCCGTTAACAGCATAACAGCTAATGTAGCTACATTCCAGAAAAAGCTTATCCATTCAACAACGTGAAACTTTGGCTATGGTCAGCCGTTCCCGTGGCAGTATGGCAGCTAAAAACGAGCCTAATGTACCACAGTCAGTCCCGTACCCAATCACCAGCCGCTCAGTGTTACAACATTTGAAAGCACGAAACCCACAAGGTTGCGTCGAGAGCACAACCGAGCCGAGAGCCAGGTGGCCCGCTCTTTGGCGCCTCAGCAGCAGCCAGCAGACAGCAGACAACGGGCCTCTCGCGGCTGTACACAATGGAGCTCCCGGCAATGGCCAATGAGCGCAACGCTCCACCATCACCGCCGGGGCCGACGCGGCACCAGCGTGTCCTGGTGGCAAGGGTTGTCGCCACTGGGAAGGGCGACGCTACGCTAACAGCGCGCTGGCAGGTGGTCGAGGTGGCTGAATGGAAACGGATATCACCGAGGCTGTTCAATGCAGCGATAGCGATCGTCCGGGCAGAATGGGGGCAACGCATGACGAGGCAAAAGGGAGAAAGCATAAATGATATGAAAGAATGAACCACGAAATTTAAGCGTAGATTGAGCCCCGGAGCCCTTGAAAGGTTGAGAATACGGGGACGTCTAAAGAAAAGACACAAAAACAAGAGAGAAAAAACTGAAAACCGAATGGCGAGACACATGCAATAAAATGTCCACCCATTAATGGATAAAAAAAAGAGGCGCGGACGGGACTTGAACATCGTTGACCAGCTCGCGATCGCAGGACCACAAGCACATCAGCGCACAGCGTACACTTGCCTGGTAGATGGGCGGCCGCACGCGGTGGTGCAGCATGAGCTCGTGCGGCGCGTACAGGCCCGGGTGCGGCTGCGGCGCGGCCGGCGGGTACGGCCGCGGCGGCGGCGGCTGCGGCGGCGGCAGGCCCGGCGCGCCCGGCTGGTACAGCTCCCTGTCGGCGCAGCGACGCGTTCGTCACCGCACGCTGTCGCTGGTCACGGCGGGGGCGTGGGAGCAGGCGCGGTCACTGTCGCGAGGGGGAGGGAGCTTGACGGCGCGCGTTCGCGCTGATAATCAGGCGTACCGACAGCTCCTTATCGCGAGAGCAGTGTATCTAAGAGTCTCTCGGATGTCGGTCAAGGCGTCCGAGCAGACGCACGGTCCTGCCGGCGGGTCGGGCCGCGACGACCCTGATCTCCAACCGCCACGCTCAGGGGGGGGGGGGGGGGTTACGCGTGTCCTGCTGGCAGCGCTGCAAAGCTGGACAGGAGCCTGGGGTGGCACTGTGGTCCTAGCCCAGGCTCGTGGCTAGGGTTCCGTCAGGGTCATGCGGATCCTGTCCCATCCATCTCCTTTCTCCTCATAGGTGCGAAGAAAAACGATCCACGTGTCATTAGCGCATGGAAAGTACCCCAGGCGTTCTCTGTATGCGCAGGTGTCTGAGCATTTCCATTCATCACAGCTAAGGTCACAAAAAGCTGACCAGGCAGGGGATGAGCCTAACGCCGAAAGGCATGCCAGGACAGCCTGACCCGCGCATGCTGTGCATGCCTTTCCCAGCACAACGCTCCAAGACAATACGCCGAGGCGGTGTTTCATGTGACGCAGCGAGCCGGCTCTGGCCGTGGCACGGCAACGACGCCGATAGCGCACGCCCCACCTCGCCAACCACAGCCGTGCGCCGTTCTTCACCACACAACGGAAGCCGGCTCACAACGGCCCGGAAACGGCTCAGGTGCTGAGCCCGCGCTGACGTCACTGGGACACGCCGAGCGCGTGGAGCTGGCGGCCGCGTGCAAACGGCGCCTGAGCCGTGCAATCTCATCCCAGCGGCAAACGGGGCCGATGCCCCCAATGACCGACGGCGCAAAGCCGCTTTTAGCTCAGTCTTTGTCTGCCCGTCTGAAAACAAAAACAGAAACACTTTCCCCCATTAGCGGTGGGGCCACCTCATTGAATCGTCAGCCGACATGTAAAACGTCACGCCAGCGGCGCCAGCTGACACAATTGACATTTTAACACGCCAGGGGCCTAATGCATACCGCCAGCCCCACTTTGTCACCGTTTCCTGGCAGCCACGTATATTGCTTCCCGTAGATGGCTCGGATGAAAGTGGTGCCGCACTCGGCGGCGGCCATTTTGGACAGCGCAATGCTAATCCCCGACCGACGAGGACACGTTTGCCGACGCTGTGCTGCAGGCAACTGCTCGATAAAAGACGGCGTGCCAGCCGCGCACCGCGGAGGTTGACAACCCCGATCCGCCGACGCGACACCGCGGCCCCAAATCGATAATGACTTCTCAATACCCGCATCCGAGGATGCCCCAAAGAGCCCTTCACACGAGATGAAGACGAACGTGGCGCAGCCCCGGGATCCCGCAAAGCTCCCGTCGCGCACGGCGCCGCCAGCCGCGTCGGTGACGACGCGGTCTGATCCGGCGCCGGTGCCGACCCCGACGCAGGCGGGTCGTCGCGGGTCGCTCAGGCCGTCGTCATAGACGATCGATTTTTGGCGGCGCGCAACGGCGGCGAACAGACGAACGCGACGCACCCCGATCCCGGCCCCTGGCGTCGATTCAATCTGGTCCGCTTTTGATTCGCCGGCTTGGATTGAATTGACCTGTTTAGAGCGCTGAATGCATCTTTCGGCGGTGTGCAGCGACAACATATGATTTGCTGGCGCAGAAAAGGCGGCGGTGAAAATTCGTTTTGAACATGGCGTCTGCCTTTACCCACCGTGAGGCCCCGACACCTGTCTTTTGAATTCGTTGCGATTCAAAACTCCCTTTGCGCTGCGTGGCCAACAATCCGAATGATCCGCTCTTTTGGGTTTAAAAAGTATCACACGATCATTCACGTGAATTCGTGTGCATTTAGGCAGAAACAATAAAACGACATCGACTAAGCGAAACAACACAGCTCCACCGCGCGGCACGACCGGTCCTTTGTCCTGTTAGCTGGTTGCGTCAGAGTCGGTATTTATGCGAGCAAAACACGGGTTCCGTTTCATCATTCATCCTCCTTTACCATTGCGTACCAGGTGCAATACATCAGCCAAATATGCTCTGTTTGCTGGCTCTGAAATAAATAAAACATTGAGGAAACACGAAAAAGGAGAGAGGGTTGGCGATACCATTACAAAGCGGATGAAACGGGATAGCGGAGATATAACGGGAAAGGGATAACGGAGAGCCCGGCCCCAACCGGCAAAGAGACAGACAGGGGTGGAGGGACGTCAAATGAAAGAGACAGGGAGAGAGAGGAGATGGGTGTGAGGGAGTGACGTAGGAAAATGGAGGGAGAGGGGAGAGAGGGGTGAGGGAGTGAGAGGGGAGAGGGTGAGAGAGACTGAGGGATGGGGGGGAGGGGGGCGACGGGGCCTCTGTGCACCGAGGCGTACAACCCCTCTTACCCATCGCGCGACGGGCATGGCGTGCGCGAGCCTGCCGGGCTCGCTGAGGCGACGCTGTTCGATGTGATACAACAGATCAATACCAGATAGGTCGGCCATTGTGCACCGCTGTTGCGTCTGTCAGACGGGTGGGGAGGGGCCGCCGGAGCTTGCCGCCCGCAGACCCTCTGCACCGCCGGCAGCAGGACTCCACTAGACACGCCGTACCAGCCGGATCTCAGAAACTATGCAGAACGCGACCTAACCAGCGCCGTGTCACTGAATATGTTGGCTGGCATTTGCGGGGAAAGATGGAAAACGCCCACGAGCGGTGAACGCGCTACTTGCCCTCGCATGTCTGAGTGACAAGAAACGCACCAACGGGCTGAATGGCACGGCGCCGCTGCCTGGCGCCAGCCCCCCCCCCCCCCCCCCGATTGCATGCCGCAGAACAAGGCATGGACCGATTAGCGCCGGGCGGAATTTAACCAATGACTGCATGGACATTCCCGTGGGGGGTGGCGGGGGGGAGGGGTGGCATTGTGTGGCCGTACAGAGGACTCGGACGATTCAGTTGCCCCATGTATTTCAAGCGTTGAGGCCCACTTCAGAGCGTGATGCAATATTAGCCAATGTTCCAGGTAATCGCGCCATATCGTGCATGCATACCTGACAGCTGCCACCATTGTAAATGCATGCAAATATCGAATGTGTCACGACTGTCAATGCATGCAAATGTGCCACGCTCGTGAATGCTATAGACTGCTGAAATGAATGCGGAGGGCCATACAGGCTACACTGAGCATTGAGTGCGTTGTTCGACGATGGATTCAGCGTAGCTTGAGGGGGGGGGGGGGGGAGGCGGCGGGAACGCTACGCAGCAATGACAGGGGCACTGAATTGTTTAGGGGGCTTGGGGAGGGAGAGTCGTGCACCATTCCTGACAAACTGCCAACGGTCTAAGCTGCGGCGGCAAGCAAGACTTGGCATCCAGAGACTGCAAAAGACAAATTAATTGAGCCGACAAATCCGTGCGCGATGCGCCACTGTAATTAAGTGAGAATTTCTGCCACTGAGCATGCATTTGCCACGCCAGGTTTTTGAAACAACTCACCCGATGTCGTGCCAGCTAGAGCAGTTACCTCAAGGAGGCACAAAACGGCCGCTGCCCTCAACTCCGCTCAGTAAAAACATTTATGTTACAGCATGTGACACGAACCCTTACAATGTACACGGCCCCCGGGTGTGTAATAGTGCATGACGATCATGACGATAGGGACAGTTTTGGCCTACGCCAGCAGTCGGGCCGATTACGCGTGTGTGCAATACTGTAATGACGAGTGAAACACGCCAGCGCCCCGGGCGCAGCGCGTCACCGGAGATGCGCGCGCGCTGGCTGCAAAAACCAGCCGTTACGCCAGTATGCGCTCGCACGCTCGTCAGTAATGTTTGTGTGCGTGTGCGCGCGACAGGCGGTCGGATACAGTCTCGGCGCAGCGCCGCGGGGAGAAAGTGAGTCGCGTTGTCAGCTGGCGCAGCCGCCGCGGAGGTGACGGCCATGTGCAACACCCAAGCGGGCGTTTAGGCCGGCAGCCGTCGCCTGCTGCGGACGCCGTCCGGCCCGCACGGTCGTCGCGGCCGTCACACGCAACGGGGCAGCTGTCCCGGCGCGGGACTCTCCGGGTGAAGACGCTGTCACGAGGACAAGGATGGTCGCCTTCACGCGTCCACGTTGGAAGGAATGGAAAATGGTCAGTTACCCGGCCACCCCCTGGTGGATATCCGCCGCTCTTCCTCCCAAAGCGTCCACTCGACCACCCACCGAAGTGAACATGCATCAGACCAGCTCGCCGCGCGTCCACCGGGCCGTGACCTCTGTCGGGTGTAACGCGGCTGTTCACCTGGCGGTGCGGGCCCAGCCCAGCTCATCAAGCCGCTCCCCGGCCGGGCGTCCCAGCGGCGAGCTCCGCCGGGGCTGGGGAGAGCAGCGTCCAGGCCATCCGACCCCCTTCCAATCAACCCTTCCCCTCCCCCCGCTCGGTATGTCGCGATGGCATCGAGGCCGGCTGGACCGCTCATCCGTCTCCACAGTGCTCGCCGCTCTCGTGCCTTGCCGTACGACCGGCCAGGATTGTACCGTGACTCGAGCGTACGCAATTATGTAATTCATGCGGGAAAGATGGTATCTGGGCTTGTTGATGTCGACTGCGGCCCGGCTGGGCGAGGTCAGCCGCACGGTCTGTCACCCTCCCTTTGGCGTGACTGTTTCTTGGAATGTACAAGGAGCACGTTTACTTCGTAAGTCGTCATCAACTATTCATTGGCGCGTGTGAAGGGCAAGTTTACTTAGCAAACGCTATTCAGCGCGCCCAAAGGTCACGTCCAATGCGGCATCGTAAAAATACCTCGGCTGATGCCAGTGGACGCAAGGATGGTGTGAACGTATGAATATTACATCCCCTTACAGCACTCATAAAATCATACTCTTTACGCCATATCAGACATCTGACCATGTTCTTCTTCAAAACGCCGACAATCACACTCCTCACACCGCACCAGGCATCTGACCACACTCTTCCTCAAAACGCCGACGTAAGCTGCATATTGCAGAATTACATTATGCAATTGCATCGATCCGGTAAAACGCGTTATTCCGGGTCTTTTGAACCCCTCGTAGTCGCTGCAAGTTGGCTGTGGTCCGGTCTGGGTTCTTTTGGTCCGTTGGCTGACCCGGATCACTTACGCAAGCCCGGGCCAATCAGTGGCCAGCGCTGGTGTGAGTAGCTGCTAGACATCCCAGGCCGTCCTGGATCATCCGGGGTCGCAGTTGGTCGCCCAGTATCATCCGGGGTCACAGTCGGTTGCTAAGGATCATGCAGGATCATTTTGAGTCGTTTCGGAGCATTTGCAAACAATTTCGGGTCGGGTCGGATCGGGCTGGGCCGGGCCGGGTCGGGTCACGTCACGTCGGGTCGGGTCGGGTCGGGTCGGGCCCCTGACGGGGTCGCCTGAGGTCCGGCCGTAATTCCGGCACTTAGCCGCTGCCGGCGCGGCGCGTCTCGTGACGACAGGCCGTCAGAACGCAAATTAATTGCACGTCGTTACCCCGGTCTGCGTTAGTTGCTCAAACGCAGTAATCGGCGACCACTAAATCCGTCCGGTCGACGCGTATTTGTGTGACGCATGGACGGCGCGAACGGCAGGGGCGGCGCGCTTTGCGTGAGCGAATAAGCCGACTGAGTCGGCCGCCACGTCTACCCCACGACGGGCTGGGTTGGTCGAAGGCAGCGCCTTTTGCATGGGTAATGTCTGTGTTAGTAAATTATGCGCGCTCTGCGCCCTGCCGTGGGTTTTTACAGACAGCAGTCGACAGTGCAGACTCAGCTTAGATGATTATGTTCCCTAGTTAATGGCTGCACATTGAATATGCAATGATTTAATGTACATTTCACAAACTACATTATTCATCGCCACACCAGGCACCAGACAATGAATCCTGAATAGCTCAAGGGTCATTTTACGCTTACCCGTATACTATCGATCCCGTGTTGGTTTGTGAAAAACATAGACAGCCAACCTTACAAAGCACTTAGCTTAATCATCAGCGTCAGTCGGCACACGGTGGGAGCGTGACAAACAGCTGATGTCATAGAAACGGTCCCCTGACTTTCCGCCAACGTCGCCAGAAAGTCGGGGCCCATTTAGAGGCATTACTTCCGCGATGTTCGCTTAACTTTACATGATAAATTATATACAAGAACTAAAGTTTGCTTCTTGATAACCCGCTGAATTGCAACATTTCGCCGCCGGTTTAGTGGGAAGCTTACAATTCACCGCAGTTGGACCGTTAGAAGTTTCCGCGAGTCCATTCGACAGCCCTGTCCGCCCGGGATTTCCGAGCGAGCACATCTTTATGAAAAGAACCATCCCATTGTACTGAAGGTACTAAAGAAAAATGAGCCATTACTTACAGCGGATGGTAAAAGCTTACAGCGAAACTGCAGGCAACAAGCAAGTATAAATCGATACAAGTCGGCGCCATCTACCGAGGCGATTGCGTCATAATCCCGTCATTGCATTAAGCCGTCTGACAGTGGCCAGAAGACTCAAGTCGCCTCTCTAGCTGCAAATAAGACACCTTCAAAAGGATTGCTCTGCCCACGAGCGACATAACTCAGCCAGGAGGCGCGGCCGAGTGCAGTGACTTGCCTGTCCAGTCGATAGAACATGGGGTGGTGCTGAGCCGGCTGGTGATTGTGATGTTGGTACCCCACTGACGTCATCGTGTCCACCGTTGACGTCATGGGCGCTGACATCTGAAAAACGGACGGATGTGACTGGCGGCAGGTACTGTTTCATGCCGCGTGGTCAGGAGAATGCAGCTGTTGGAATGCCCGCCTCCAGGGCGTTATGGATCGATCTGTGGCAGCATTCGGGGCGGAGAACGCCGTAGTTTTCGGCGTCCTGAGTCTAAGCTTTGTTTGACGAGCTAGAACTCGACTCCAACAACAACTCAACAGAAAACAAACTTCGCCGCGCCGCAGAAATCCCCACACTCGGTAACAATTTCGACGTCTCAACAGCTGGCGAAACCGGATCGATCCGCGTCTGGGCCTCCTCGCCGACAGGACCCCTCAGCGGAGCCAAAGGACCGCTGCTACAGGAGGGCGCCGCAGGAGGACTCTCAGGAGCCTTGCTACCGGAGCGCGCCGCGGGGGGGGGGCCTCCTCAGGAGAGTTGCCCCAGCAGCGCGCCGTGGGAGGGCTCCACAGGAGCGTTGCTACAGGAGTGCACCGCGGGAGGCCTCCCCAGAACCGTGGAGGGCCGCGCCAGAGCCATCGAGTGGGGAGCCGAAGCGTCCCCGCGCCGCTGTCGCCTGCTATAGTATTCATTGTCGGGCGGGCACCTTCGCGGACCGGGACGCGTCGACCGGCTCAATCCGTTACAAATCATGATAACTTTGGTCATATAGCCAGAGAGTTGTGAAGTTGAAGCGGCTGGTTGGCCTAGCGCCGCGCATCGTTGCCGTCGGGAGCCACGGCGTCGGAAGCGACGGCACTGACGCGGCGCCCGTCGGGCTGGCAGGGGTGCCCTATCGCGGTCGGTCCTCATCAAGCATAAGGCCCGGGATGAACCCAACATCTGCCACACATCTACAAAATGTATGCAGTAAAAGGCGGCATTCATTCCAGTGTATCAAAAGTGCAGTGCCTTGTTCAGTCCACCAACAAAGACGACTGTGACTGGAGTCGGAACTAGCTAAGCTCCCGTATGGATGCTTGCGATTGACTGAAATTAGGCCGTAGTTCTTATATGCGATCAGCAAGCGGTGGCAATGATCACTGACCGTGGCGGAAGGACTTAGTCATGACTGTGGATTCGTTCGTCCAAGCAACAAATGAAGTGATTTTCCTGGAGTTCTTGCCAGAACAAAGGTTACATGTCCGTTGATACAGGAAAAGTCACATTCCGTAAGCAACCACTCCTTCCCGGCGAATCAAATGTTTATGGATGGTTTGAGTTGTTCAACATCCTGATCTGACTGGCATACGGGAATGCGGTGACACGGCCTTAGCAGTCCGACAAATTACCCAAAATTGCCGCATATATCGTCAAAGAGAAAGATGAAAGATCTTACACCAGACTCCAGAGCGAACATAGGGATTGATCAAAGCTCCAGCACTCAGCCTCCACTGCAAACAAAGAATGAACCCAACACCGCCCGCATCCTGCTTCCTCCGAAACCGGGAAAGATAATCCCAACTCCGCTCTTTATCTACATCCCTCGACCGAGATAAGCCCATGTCCGGGCACTCAGTTTTCGCAGCAGAACACGCCGTGGCGACACTGCCCGAGCGCTTGCCGCGCGCGGCACACGCTACCACATCAAGGCGCCACTTTCACGGCGGAATGGCGGCAGCGACAGTGCCCGCCACCGATCGTCCGCATGGGGAGGCATCCGTGCGGACGTCGCCGAGGGGGTCACTGGATCGGATCCGGAGGCACGACGTCTGCACGGGGAGGCACCCGTGCGGACGTCGCCGAGGAGGTCACCGGATCGGATCCCGAGACACGACGCCCGCACGAGAAGGCGTCAGTGCGGACGTCGCCGAGGAGGTCACCGGATCGGATCCGGGGCACGACGTTCGCACGGGGAGGCACCCAGAGCCGCCGTCGCTGTGGAGGTCACCGGATCGGATCCGGAGGCGACCGTTCGATGCAGCAGCATGCCCTCTGAGGTCAAGGACGCCGCTCGGCCGCCTGGGCAGCGGCCGAGCGGACGGTGCTCACCCCGAGGACGACGGGCTAACCGGCCACAGTTCGAACGCACGGACGCGGGATGTTCTGGCGCGCCGGGACGCTGCAGGAGAGACAGGCCGGAACGTTTCCCCGGAGGGTTGGAGCGGGTTAAAACATGTCTCAGTAACCGGAGGCGGGTCAGACCACCGTCCCGGTGAACTGAAGCAGTCCAGGGCGTTGTCCCAGTGAACTAGGACAGGTCGGGGCATTGACCCGTGAACTGGGAAACGACAACGCTGTCCAAGTGAACCGGGACGAGACTGAGCATTGTCCCAGCAAACTAGGGCAGATCTTGAGGCATTTGGCACCGCAGTCCAACGTGAACAGTGCTTCAGTGAACTGGGTTGATTGCAGGCATGACCTGCTAGAGCAACAGCGTGAGCAACAACACCGTTGCTCCAGTACACTGAGGCAGTTAACTGCCAGTTCAATCGGGCTCCACAGTCGAATTCAAGGCGTCATCATTATGGGAACAAAAATGCGGACCACGCAAACCAGCACAGCTCTACACGCTAGCTGCCGATTGACGGCAAAACGAAACACCACATCGTGGACTGTAGCATCGTTGCCGTAGCGAATCGGAAGCAGCTGGATGCAATCCGGAAAGGGCTCAACAGTAACTCCCACCGTCAATTCGGGAAAGGCACTCTTTAAATACCAACATGGCGTCGAATTCCAGGGACTAGGTCACTGTTTCAACAATGATAATAATGTTGATTGGAGGTTCACGTCCAACGAACAGCCAGGGTTATTACATTCATGCACACCCCGGTCGGTTGACAAAGCAGAAACATCCATGAGTGAGACGAACGCCGACCTATACCTCTGGCTTCTCCGATTGGGCTTAGGTCGACCCATGCCTCTGGCGCCTCCTATTGGCTCAGGTCGACCTGTGTCTATGGCGCCTCTGATTAGGCTCAGGTCGACCTGTGCCTCTGGTGCCTCCGATTGGGCTCAGGTCGACCTGTGCCTCTGGCGCCTCCGATTCGTTCTGGTCGCATAAACGCCAAGTGGAGCCCAAACCCCGGCGGAGTGCGACATGGAAAAGAAGGCACGCCGGCATACTGGCAGCAGCGGTCGAACGACACGGCAATCTGTAGAAGGCACGCCGGCATACCGGCAGCAGCGGTCGAGCGACACGGCAATCTGTAGAAGGCACGCCGGCATACCGGCAGCAGCGGTCGAGCGACACGGCAATCTGTAGAAGGCACGCCGGCATACCGGCAGCAGCGGTCGAGCGACACGGCAATCTGTAGAAGGCACGCCGGCATACCGGCAGCAGCGGTCGAGCGACACGGCAATCTGTAGAAGGCACGCCGGCATACCGGCAGCAGCGGTCGAGCGACACGGCAATCTGTAGAAGGCACGCCGGCATACCGGCAGCAGCGGTCGAGCGACACGGCAATCTGTAGAAGGCACGCCGGCATACCGGCAGCAGCGGTCGAGCGACACGGCAATCTGTAGAAGGCACGCCGGCATACCGGCAGCAGCGGTCGAGCGACACGGCAATCTCTAGAAGGCACGCCGGCATACCGGCAGCAGCGGTCGAGCGACACGGCAATCTCTAGAAGGCACGCCGGCATACCGGCAGCAGCCGTCGAGCGACACGGCAATCTCTAGAAGGCACGCCGGCATACCGGCAGCAGCCGTCGAGCGACACGGCAATCTCTAGAAGGCGCGCCGGCATACCGGCAGCAGCCGTCGAGCGACACGGCAATCTGTACAAGGCACTGGCATACCGGCAGCAGCGGTCGAGCGACACGGCAATCTGTAGAAGGCACGCCGGCATACCGGCAGCAGCGGTCGAGCGACACGGCAATCTCTAGAAGGCACGCCGGCATACCGGCAGCAGCGGTCGAGCGACACGGCAATCTCTAGAAGGCACGCCGGCATACCGGCAGCAGCCGTCGAGCGACACGGCAATCTCTAGAAGGCACGCCGGCATACCGGCAGCAGCCGTCGAGCGACACGGCAATCTCTAGAAGGCACGCCGGCATACCGGCAGCAGCCGTCGAGCGACACGGCAATCTGTACAAGGCACTGGCATACCGGCAGCAGCGGTCGAGCGACACGGCATCTGTCGTGCTGAGCTCAGCATGACGTCACGGCGACTGCAGGTGGTCTGGGACTTTTCAATGGTGCTCTTCCGCGGGCGAATTTTCCTGTCTAACTACGCTCTGCAGACGACCCAGCTTTGCGACGGTCGCGCAGGCGGTCTTCACACTGCCCAGCAACTACGACACCAAGCGCAGCAGCGCGTGTAGTGGCGGCGGGTTGGCGGCGCAGCTCGGGGCCTCCCCGCACGGGTAAGCTGGCTTGGCAGAGGCATTGCGCACCCGACGGACCGTCCGATGTGGAACACTATCCAGGAGGGGGGGTTACGACAGGGAGCGGCCGGGATTCCCGTCCGCGGAATGGTCGGGATTCCCACCCACGGATAGTTATGAACACCGGCAGCCGGATCGAGGCACACTGAGGTAAGATCGGCATAATGTTGACATGAGAGCCGGAGCTATTTTCCGAGCCTTAAGACGATTGGTCCTGAGTTTCTTTTGTTTCCGGTTCATCTCGAATGACGACAGGAAACACACAGCAGTGACGTCACGAGAGGCCAGCAGTGACGTCACGAGAGGCCGACGTCACGTCGCTCAAAGCAGTCTTCCGTCTGACTTTAAAAGCACTTGAATGCTGCGCAAATGTTTGGCTTCGCTTCACAAGATGCGTTTTTATATGGACTTTTCGCGCCCCCGTTCAATCACGACCGTCCACCCACTACGCCAGCAGACGCATGGTGCGGACGCCGTAATTCGATAGGCGACAACAACCATATAGTGCGAGGAATAAGGACTGCATTTCTGATTCGATAAAATTCCCCTACATCAATGCCAACTGATAAAACTCAAAACAGTCATTAATCGCGTACACTCTTATGCCTTAATCATTGCTGAATGCATGCTAAGATGTGACAAGCCTTAACGCCTCACCAATCCTCCCTGAGTATCTCAGCTGTCCCAATTCTCCCTCAGAATCTCAGCTGTTCCAATCCTCCCCGAGTATCTCAGCTGTCCCAATCCGACCTCGGTATCTCAGCTGTCCCACATCTCAGCTGCCTGAATCCTCCCTGAGTATCTCAGCTGTCCCAATCCTTCCTGAGTATCTCAGCTGTCCCAATCCTCCCTGAGTATCTCAGCTGTCCCAATCCTCCCTGAGTACCTCAGCTGTCCCAATCCTCCCTGAGTACCTCAGCTGTTCCAATCCTCCCTGAGTATCTCAGCTGTCCCAATCCTCCCTGTGTATCTCAGCTGTCCCAATCCTCCCTGAGTACCTCAGCTGTCCCAATCCTCCCTGAGTATCTCAGCTGTCCCAATCCTCCCTGAGTACCTCAGCTGTCCCAATCCTCCCTGAGTACCTCAGCTGTCCCAATCCTCCCCGAGTACCTCAGCTGTCCCAATCCTCCCTGAGTACCTCAGCTGTCCCAATCCTCCCTGAGTACCTCAGCTGTCCCAATCCTCCCCGAGTACCTCAGCTGTCCCAACCCTCCCCGAGTACCTCAGCTGTCCCAATCCTCCCTGAGTATCTCAGCTGTCCCAATCCTCCCTGAGTACCTCAGCTGTCCCAATCCTCCCCGAGTACCTCAGCTGTCCCAATCCTCCCTGAGTACCTCAGCTGTCCCAATCCTCCCTGAGTACCTCAGCTGTCTCAATCCTCCCTGAGTACCTCAGCTGTCCCAATCCTCCCTGAGTACCTCAGCTGTCCCAGTCCGACCTCGGCCGACAGAAGCCGGAAGCGGCGCGCCGCGGCGCGACCCCAAACGCGCTCATTACCATAGCGGCGGTTGTGCACGACCCTTGCGACACGACCGCCACCGGCCGGGCCGCCTCTCCCGGTGAAAGGAGCCGTGCACGGTCGGTGCACGCGCACGCACACGCGCAGCACTGCCCGGCACTGTCGTACCCGCAGGACGCACGGCCGCGTCGAAGGCCTGGGCATCGATCTCGGCTCCAGACAAGCCGACGTCGGAGCGAGGTGCAAAGCTGGCAAGCACAGTTCCGGCCGGGTATGCGGCAACCTGCTCACACAGTTCCTGACAGCCCGCTCGGACCGAATGCAAACGGCTGTCATGAACTACTTTTAGAAGAAATTCTTTGAAAATGACCCGAGCTGATGTGCTGCAAACATAGTGATTCGCTACTGAGATGCCGAAAAACGGCTTGAATCAATTAGAAATAATTAAACATGCTGGATTGGCATGGCGGGACCGCGCTAACAAAAATATGATCACGGAACACGTTCGCTGGGCATTAAAAATGCATGATGGCTGTTACGTCGCAAATACACATGCATGCATATGCACGTGCATGCAAGCACGCAATGCATGCTTTATCAACCAGGTACAAAGAGAGCTCTTAAAACCTCATTTTACGTGCAAACTTCTTTCATGCACATATTTATCACTGACATCTAAACAAATAGATGTCGAAATGCGTAACATCTTGCAACTGATTTCAAAATCAACATTCCTGCATGGCGTATGGCACACAACTTGTTGGCGAATGGTCACGGCGTATGACATATAACCTGTTGGCAAATGGTCACGACGTATGACATATAACCTGTTGGCGAATGGTCACAGAGCACAGGCTCTAAATTCAGCCAGCGACACACAACATCTGTAACGTGTTGCTATGATTAAATACGCTGTTTTTAATTTACTGACTTAAAGTAAGCAATACATTGCCAAAGTCTGATCATAAACCATTCAAGGGAGGTACATTCGACATGTTAGTTTCTGCTATCATATACCTATGTTAAGCGGTTCTTAACAGTAAAAAACCTGGAACTGATACACTTCCTTTTCAGCAAGCTGAAATGCCAACCCTGCTAGCAGATATAACATGTTTATATGCTTATGATAAAGGTTTCTGCACCTAACTGCTAGTGGTGACAATTTAAGTGGCAGCTGCATTCATACGTTCTGAAAATTAGATGGATTCCAAACAATTTTGAAAACCAAACATGAAACTTAAGGGACGAGGTGGTAAAAACGGGATGAAGAACTCCAAAGATCAAAGTTTCTGAATGGGCATGCACTACAATGTACTTCTCTCTGGAGTTCTTAATCCCGTTTTTACCACCTTTACCACCGCCTTCCACTTCAAAGGTCGAAGTTTTTGAACGGGCATGCACTATAATGGACTTACCTCTCCTTGAAGCAGAAGGCGCCTTTTAATTGCGAAAATGTAACCAAACGAATGGGCAAACAGCACAACAAACTAAAATCAACAAGAGGATGCAGAGATCAGCAAGAAGGAGGTCAATAAAAAACAGCCAGGAAAACTTGCAACCAGAAAGTATGTTCAATCCAACATTCAAGGATAACATTAAACGACTTATCATGTACATTCCTGTCTCGGATTACACGCTAATACCTCGTAGGGCCGCCAGCAAAAAGAGACCTTCCAAGAACAGCCATTGTCAGCTCACTAGAAGGGAACGGAATCTTGTTCAAGGACCTCTGGGACGGTAAAAACCTCAGGAAACCCTAATGAATAACAAACGGACAACAGCCATAGCTTCCCGAACTGTTTCCAAACGGGACGACTTTTCAAACGATACATTGCATGAGAGATGCTCAAACGGATAGCCCTTCACCAGCACAATATGTCGCAATGAGGATGGTATCAGATCAAAGACCAATCAACTGTTATTGCAATGGCAGCCAGTCGAGTGGTACCGATCGACCCCAAGCCATGCCATAAAAAACAGCCACCACCGCTCGCCACCACTGGGCTGCCGCCACCCAGAATACGAACAAAATTCGCCCTTCGTAGTTTTCTCTACCGCGCCGCGCGCACTTGGAATGGCCTGATATCGGAAGTAAGACAGCGTCTCGCTCCGCCCTGTTCATAGAGCGGGGTTTCAGGGGCTGTGATCCTGCGTTGCTAATTTCCCGCGCCATCTCGGCTTTTTCATCGTGGGTGGAAATCATAATTACTTTTCTCGTATGAGGTTCAAATGCGCCCAGAGTGGCTGAACCATGAACTGCATCCTGCATTATCTTTCATGTGTTGACGTGGTCGCCATAAGACTCATCGAATGGAGGTGCCTAATAAACGCATCTGCGTCTGTATCCCAACTGTAGTCAAACACAACCGCCCGACACCGCAGCAAACCGCACTCGGTCCCCTCCCCTCCCCCCCCCCCACTCAACACACACCCCAGCTCATTTATAACCGGCTGATTAGCTTAGGGTCGCCGTAAAATTTAACAGCCGACAACGCTGCCATGTCTGAGAACAATTATTTGAGCGATGTGCGCGCGGAGCACATCGGGAAAACAGCGGCCGAGTATTGCTCCACAATGGCCCGTCCGAATGAAAACGGACCGATTAACCCCGTTACGAAATAAACGACGCCGGTCGCAGCATATGAATCCCTTCATCCTCGAGAGTAAATAGCGCATTACTTCACGGAGAACTGGGGCGCATCACTCCGTTGTCAGGATATCCTAATCGTCCACCAGCTCCTCACGTTTGCACAACCACCTCCACAAATGGGTGCAAGGATCAGCAGGTCGCTGCACGGTGGCACGTGACCCGACAAAGCCGTTACCACCCAAAGTGAGCTAGGCACTCCGCTCTCGGCCACAGGCGCTAAGCGGACAAGTCACGTGCGTCGGGGACAAAGTAGGGGCAGAATGAGGGCGGGCGGGCGGTGTTTATGCAAATCAAACCAGCAATGAGAACGGAAGTCTTGGACATTGTATCGTTATGCACTGGTCACTTTGCCCGCGCGGTTTTCACATGCCGTCCATCCGCCAGTTCAAGAACGCAACGAGAAGGAAACTCTTGAAGATATGTTTCTGTCATGCAGTAGTAAAATTTCCTCATTTGGCATTTACGTGTCGTCCATGCGCCAGTTCAAACACAGCACGCCAAAATGAATATGTGATGACGCAGCTGTTCACATTCATACATCTGGATGGACAGACAGACGCATGCGGAACACAGCACCCACCACTCCCTTCGGACCTCGCCGCGTGCCGTAGACCTCACCTCCATGGTGGGGTACATGTTGTTCTGCTGGCCGGCGCCCTCCGACAGCAGCGGCGGCAGGTCAAACTCTTCGTCGCCGAGGCTGGGCGTCTGATACGTCTGCGGGCGGGGACGGCCGTGTCAGCGGGCAGCCGCGGTAGCGCCGGGGGACATTGCCACACACCGGCGCCGCGCGCGCGCGTGCATGATCAATGGACAATGCCCGCCGGCTGGCCCACCCATCGACCGTCGAACGATGACCTCCCACCGTTCGACAGATTCACGGCACGCCGGGCCCAGCGCGTCGGATCCACCGCCGCGCGCCCGCCGCCGCCGCCACCGTCGGCCTGCCCCACTCCCGCCCCAGGGACGGGGCGGGGACGCCCCGGGCGACGTTCTAACCGGCCGCCAATCTGTCGGGCTCGCGGCACGAGCCCGCCCCACCTGTTAGCAAATCCGCCCGCTAATTGCCGATGAGACGGTCTCCGCGGCGCGTATTTGCGGCCAGGGGGCCGTCGCGGCCCGGCGCCTCGGGCGATGGCGGTCACAACTCGGCCGGAGCCGCCTGCCGGGGGCTCCCTCGGGACGACCAGCCGACGCCGCGTCAGCTGAACGGCGCCCGGGGCACCAGAGCGGCCCAATCAGAGCCCAGCCACCGCCCGCTGGACCGAGACGTCGCGGCGCAGGTGCGACGCCGAGGAGGTGAACTTCGGGGGTGTTAGTGATGTCGGCGGTGAACAGGCCAGGTGGCGATGGCACGGCTGTTTGAGTCGCGGGCGTGGGCGGCAGACCGCTGACTGACGGGGTATCTATCACAGGCCGTCGGTTCGCCGGGAGCGAACCGTGGTCACGTCCGGGGTAATCGCCGATCACAAAGGTCAGCTGGCCT